AAACGGGTTTTAAATTATGTAAATATTATTATGATACTTTCAATTGCTTTTTTTAATTTTCAATTTGTTATTATTTAAAGGCGCACAAAACGCACAATATCGAGCAGCGAAACATTAGTGTGGTCTTATAGTATAATCATTACGGCCTTTTGTAGGTGTGTATTTAAGGGTTCAAATAAAATTGACAAATCCCTTAGAGGGGAAAAATGTATCAGTAACATACTTATTTACCTACGAAATTGATATTTTTATTATATTAACCAAACAACGGTAAATTTTATTACAGTTTGCAATATAAAATGTATTTATTATTTCTTGGTAAAATTAAAAAAAAAAAAAAAAAATCAAGTATATAATTTTGGTTTGCCCCAGTACACATATTAGGATTGTGACCCTATCGGCATTTGCCAATTAAAAGACCGTTGAATCCACCACTGTTAAAATGACAATTACATTTAATATACAGTCATTGTCCGTATTAAGTATAATGTGAGATTAACTTCTTCGATTTAATAATAGTTTTATTAGTATTGAACGACTGACCATTCAATTTTTATAATCCAAAACAGTTATTATGATTTTGGTTTTCATGTACGATCTTTAATTTATGTAAATTATTATATTACCTTTCAATCATTTTGTCGTTTTCAATTTTTTATAATTTAACGCAGCACAAAATGCATAACGGCAAGTAAAGAAACATGACTGTGAACTTGTAACGCAGTTATGGGTTTACATCGTTAAAGTTTAAATGGAATATTAAAACAATCATTGTCAATAAAGCGTAAATCAACATATAACCTATGATATAATATTAACATTTTTCAATTTTATAATTGTTTAGTTATTCATAAAGTGCTAACCGTTCATATTTTATAATCGAAAATAATTATAATTATTTTTCATGAACACGATTTAAAATATAGGAACGTAAAATAAACTAAAATTACACGCTATTTCCTCCTCTGTGATACTTACGGACCAACTATTTCTCAATTGTTCAGATATAAATGTGTTTCTTATAAATTACCGTTTTTAGGAAAAATCTCACGGTTTTTAAGAAAATCAAATTTAAAACTTTAAACAAAGTATTGTCGTGGTTTTTTTTTCATTAACTTTATTATTTTTCTGAGTTCTGAGTGCAATAAATGCTAACAATATAATATAGATTTTATTAATTTTATTTACATTTTATATTCGGAACGGAACAAGAAGTTGTATTGGTTTTACAATGGTTAGTGTTTTTTTGTTTGTTTTTCTTTCTCATCAACATTTGCCTTTTGGAGCAGTAAAAATGATTCGATTTCAATTTCAAGCACGAAATCGAATCTAGTTGGTACTTTTTCGAGTCAAAAGTAAAAGAAATGCACAGTATTTTTTCAAAATCATCTTTTGAGTTTTGACGAAATTGATTTTCTTATTTTGTTATAATTCAAACCACAATAATAGATACTGAAATTTTTTACTATCTTTTTAGATACAAGGTATTATTTTAAATATATTTCAACACTTTTTCGGTTATTTTATATAGGAATGAAAAATATTCGATTATTTTTTGTATTATCTTCAATAACTTGTCAATAATACATATTTCACTAGGAAAAAATACTTTAAAATATAGTTCAAAAAACCTTATAAGTTACAGTTATTAGTTCAGTTAAATAAAAAAGTTGAAGGTAAATCTACACTAATTTTTTATGAATATTTTGAATTCTAATTATGACAAAATTTTTAATCATAAAATTACGATTTCTTGTCAAATGGATTTTCTTATTTGGTTTGCTGTAAATAATAATAAACAACTAACCTTGACATTTTCACAAAATGTGTATATTAGGGTTTTCTGTGCATGGTATGATTTTCAAAATGTTTGATGACAGTTTCAAGTACCTGTAGGTAAAATTTGTTGTATGAAAATGTGTTATTTTAAGCCCCAATGAATATCCGATGTCTAGTTAATTTTTGTTAAATGTAGGAAAAGGAAAAATAAGGGGAATCTTATGACTTATATAACAATTTCAAATCTGAGATAAACATAGAAAAGTTTTTATGAATTTTTAACTCAACATAATTTGCCAATTTTCGTAATTTTGATTTTTGATGCGTTTCGTAAACATTTTAACTTCAGACGCTCATAAAAAATTATTTTAGATTTATGCTTTTTTTTTAAATTTTCATTAAAAAAAATTTATGAGGAACGTCGTATTACATTTCAAGTTTTTTGACAGAGTGAAAAATGTTAACCGACAATAATTACCAATAAATTAATAAAACTCAAAATTGTTTTATGCCTACAGAGTACAGATAGCAAAAAAAAAAATTGCAGTATTTTTAATATGTTACCTATATGGTTCATAGAAACTACTAGTTAATAAAATTATTCTGAGAACATTTCATGTATCTGTGGTTATTATTTTTAAAGTTGCACTAATAAACAAAATTGATTTTTCCTTAATTTTTTGTTTTTTTTCCCTGACGCTTTTGTAAACTTTTGAGAATTTTTACTTTTGACCCCCCAAAGTACCAACTAGATTCCCTTTCCTACTAAAAAAGGTACTTTTGTTGAAGCGAATTTGTATTGCTCCAAAAGATGATGGCAAACACAAAAAAAACAACACACATCATTGAAAAAACAATACGTTTATCGCTCCGCTCAGATTCTATGACCAAGGATTTAAGTCAGATAATTGAAAGTCACCGAAAGAACGGAAAAATGCATTGACTCATAATGTTTTTTGGTGTCTGATAGTTTTTTAATTCGTCTTTAAATTTACAATCTATTGACTTCGCTGTAGTATTGACAACATTAATTGTTGAGTTTTTACCATCCATGGAACACAAAGGGTTAAATACTAACATTGATTATACATAATATTTTAATAATTTATTATTAATTATTATACTAATATACTATTATAACATTAGTATAATTATTATACTATGTATAATCAACGATATTACTGATTTACCTTTGTACAAAGTGAGTGTACGACAATTACGGCTATACAAATACAACATAATTGGCTTGCATTTTTTATTTTACTTTATGTAAGTTTTAATATTTTTCTTGAATATTGATACCAACTCGATTAATGATTTGTTATACAACACAATATAATAAAAATCGGAATCTTGAGCTGGAGGGTAAAATTTCAATTTAAGAACCCCAGGTATGCCACACCGAAGTGATTTTCAGATTCTATAATCTACAGTTATATACTTTTTTGTAAGTACCTATGCATATATATTTATAAATCATACGAAACTTTTGGCATTCTTTTTTTACTGCCCCCGTCGAGCACCGTGTTCGCCACAAAGGAAAAACAATCACATTGTTGTGACAATTTCTGCAGCAATACAACGACTCTAATAATAATAATAATAATAATATTAATAGTAATATTTATATATTTAGTGTGCGCCATGGCTGTGTCAGAATAATATATTGTTTTATTTTAGGCCATAAAAGTGATGGACACACCGAGGTTATAATACTATTATGATGATGGTACTTACTCGAATCAAAAGTTTTGTTATTTCGCACTTCCCCCTAATAACGGCTGCAGCGGCGCCACTAACTGCAGAGTTTTTTGTTTTTCGTCTCCAAACCATAATAGTAATTATTGACGTAATTACAATAGAATTCAACAGGTGCAAAACTTTCATTGGTCGAATAATCATAAAGACAAATTAAGTGATATTTTGAGCTAACGGTTTGCTCTCGCACCTATGCACTACGTTCATAAATTAAATATTATTATCTTCCACACTGTGTACACTGTACGTATGTTGTGAATATAATATATAAAAATACAATATATTTTATCCATAATAATGGAAGCAGTTCAGATTTTTTTCGGACGTCACACGTGGGCCAAAGCAAAATAAATAGGAAATTACATTTTTTAAAGTGTTTTTGGTTTTTTTATGAAACCAAAGCACTACATACACGACGGCCAATGAGATGCATTCCCCGCAGCAGCGTCGTCACGTGTGTGTGTGTGCAGGTATAATATCAGTTAATACCACATCATTTCTATGAATTATTGCGAATTTCAAAATAATTACTATCGACATATTTTTGTTTTTGTTTTTATAGTATCGTAACATTTTATATGGAATTAGTATTGCGCCCTAATATTATGGTATAATATGTTTTCGTGTACAGAATAAAACCAGAATAAAACCACATAAAAACGCCCCCCCCCCCTCTGTAAATCTATTTACTGTGAAAGAATCAGAATTATTAAGTGCCTTGTAGCTTGTACGGAAACTCAAAATACTTTTCTTTGATTTTTCAAATTTCTAATATTTTTGATTTATTACTGCAATTATTATTATGCGTATATAATTTATGCAATTACTATGCATGAATATACAGTTTATATTTTTCGTAAATAATTAAACTTTAATTTATATTATACTATCTTATTACTATTATTTATATGTATATACAAATATAATCGTTATGTAAACCTCGATTGCGTTATGTAAATAATACGTAAATGTGAGTATTGTCGCGAAATTGAAATAATAAATTACTATCGGAACTATATTATTAATCTTTTTTTTTTTTTAAACTTCATAGCATTGATAAAATTATTTTACAACATTAGTTCAAGTTCACGTTCATATTGTTGAAGAGGAACTAAATCGTTTCTTGTTAATGGCTTAAAGAAAGGAACTAGTTCCTGAGCTTGTATACCTGAACTGCCCGAGTAAATCAATATTGTCAATATTTATATCAAAAAAAAAAAGGTTTCAATTTCCACCTTGAATCTCAATATCCTTGTTTGACAACCTATTTCAAATGCAAATATCGGAAAATCCTTTCTTATTTCACATCTAGATCATAAGAGAAACAAAAATTTGTTTTGTAGTTTTCGAGTTCGAGATGTAGTGGTAGATGTGAGTGGTATTTGGCTTATATATGTATGGATACCTATGACAGTAACATTTTTTTCTATGAAAAATTTGCTGATGGAAATTTTTTTTCTCAGGACTCATGCTGTTGTGGCCGGTGGACAAGGTGGTTGGTACCGACGCCACTACCCCGCCGACGGTTGAAGCCACCGTCTCCTCGGCTGTGGCCACCGCCTCTTCGGCCATCGCCACCGCCTCTTCTGCCATCGCCACCGCCTCGTCGGCTATCGCCACCGCGTCTTCGGCCATCGCCACCGCTTCATCCGTCATTGGCACTGACCCATCGGCCACCGCAGTGGACAGGATCGCTTGCGACGACGATACAACCGAACTGTGCGACACCACCGCTGACACATCCACTACCACCACTACCACCACTTCCACAGTCACTTCCGGTGTCACTTCCGCCATTGTAGGCGACGGTGACGATTGTAGCAAGGTCGCGTCTGCTCTGAGACTAGGACACGGTGCTGACGACTCACCGGCGCTGCAAGTCGATGACAACCGTGGTGGGACAGGTCGAAGTCTGGACATCGTGGGTCCTCGCCGTCGAGCCGACGGATTCAACCGAATAGTTGTCCGACCGAGGACCATCGGCTTGAAGATGTTTGAAAAAATCATGCTGACCGCCGTGAGCATGTTTTTCGAAAAACTCGAATTGGCCGTGTACTTGTCGCTGTACAAACTCAAACTGCTCTACACCACGTTGATAGCGCCGGTGTTGGGAATATAGTTTTTAGCCGGTAGTGTTTTTTTTTTTTTTTTTACTCCCTTTAGGATCATTGATAATAATGATAATTAAGTGTAATATGATGTTTTACTTGACAATATAATATGGGATCATATATTAAGTATTACAATTTGGACCCGGATTCAAATGCAACACCTGAGTGCTTTTTAAAAATGCACTAAAAAATGGATGTATTATAAAAAAAAACCAGCATTCTAGCTTACCTTGGTTGATTTATCTGTTTTTAAATATACCTTAATATTTTGAATCTCTACGCTGTCTATTTTATTAATTTTTCTTAACATAATATCAGAAAAAAATACTCTGCGTTAACGTTTGAACGCCGCTGTAACATTGTATGATATAAAAAACTGATCTGAAAATATTTATTTACAAACAAATTTGGTTTCCAAATATTAACATACTAATATCTATGTGATAAACCATTATATACATAGCCACATGTCCATATAGGTAGTATTGTTTATTGATTTTACAATGTTTTTAAGGTATTTTATTTTTTATTAAATTACTTTGTTATTTGTTATTTGTTAGTTTTTTCAAAAATGTATAGTTATTAATTTTGTATACAAAAAATAACTGATTTTTAACTATGTTAAGTTAAAATCAACGAATACTTCTAAATTTCTAAGCCTAAGGTAAAAGAACGTTTCGAGAAACTAAAGTCAATCATGATAGGAATGACAAACATGAAATGGATAATTTCGGGAGAGTGTTGGAATATATAACTAACATCAGTATTCATACATTGTAAGCACATGTGTGCACGGTTCCAGGTCAAAATATTTCCGCAAAAATATCTCCGACAAAATATCTCCTGTTAAAAATATCTTTAATGCAAATAAAGAATATTATTGGTAAAAAATATATTATTATATTGTATTTTATAATAATACTGATATCTAAAATGATTAACCTAACCGAAGTAAGTACATTTTCTAGTAATAATGTTTACTTAATATTACTATAATACTTTGTTTAAATAAGATAAGGTGTATTCGAATTATGGCCCATGAAAAAATTTATTTTTATTTTTTGGCCATTGACACCTAAAAGGTTGCTGACCCTGCCATAGACAATAATAACTAATTATAATTGTACACTGTCATACTGACCTATTCGTATTATCTGATATATTTTTCACGATTACGAGTAGGATTACAAACCACGATAAATGACTTTATCGACGTAATGACTATATGAATACGACAGAGTGTCCGTATAGACACACAGCTGGTATCACCTGCACCGATTTAAAAATTGAAAAATGCCTCTAGAATTTATTGTAAGTCATAAAGGCAATAAGCTTTTGTTACATGAGGATACCTTCATACTTTCTATAAAGAAGGAGTGAACAAATTTATTTGGCGTTCTTCTGAATATGAAACTTCCAAATGTACTTCATGCTATACAACCACTCGTGAAGAAATAGGTAATTATTATATAGTTAATTATTATGCAACTAAATAACCTCATGTTTAGGTCAAAATGGAACAATCTTTGTCAGGTGAACCAAGTCCGAAAAAAATAAAAAAATTTAATGATTACGATGAACGACTATTTAAAATGGTAAGTCAATACAACGAAATGACGTACATCTCTGAAATATTTAAGAGGAATTGCCCACGATCTTAAATTTTAATATATTATCTTGATTTGATTTTTTATTATTTTTATTATATAATAATATAATTACTATGATTACTATAAATACTATAATTTTTATTTTCCGTTTTTGTGACAAATATTATTGTATACACGTAAAAATCACTGTATATTATACTTGTAATAAATAATAACATATTATGATTACAATAATATATTTTTAAATATTAAAATATTTTCATGGGAGAAATTCGCATTAAAAATATTTTAAATCGGAGATATTTTGTATTGAAGATATTTTAAATCGGATATATTTTGTACTGGAGATATTTTAAAGTGAAGATGTTTTTGACTAGAGATATTTTGACCGGAGATATTTTTGCGGAGATATTTTTACCGGTCACCGTGTGCACGACACACGTATCAATAAAGTATTTCACTAATAACCTTCTAGTTATAACATTAATGATTAGAACATTACTTTTAATCGCTATAAAGACGTAGACATTTATTACCTCAGTGATGGCATAGTAACATTCGATGAACGTATTGGCACTAGCTGTTAAACGATCATACTGTGTGTACACTGATGCAGTCCAGTTTATTGTACCAATGTCACATTTATATTACAGTATTTACATAATCATAAAGTCGTGTTATGCGTGTGAACATTAATTACATAAATCATTATTTTTCCTCTGAAATTTTTATTATTTTTGATTTATTTTTTGAAATCCTAAGCCATCTTTGTCATAAGTCAAAATATAATATACTTTATCTCAAATCCACTCACTCCGCTGATGCAAAGCAGGGCACAGGCCCTCCTATATTATATTTGCATCGGCCGTTGAAAACTAGGTGTAACGTCAATAGTTGTTGACTTATGAATATTATGATGTTGGTCACAGAAATCCTAGCATCGACCGAGGGGTCTGACTGTTCCGGCAGCTCAGTGTGCATGCGCAAATATATGGGTAAACTTAAATTAAACAGATTGAAGCTTATGCTTTTACAGACAGGCCACCCACAAGAGCAAGACATTTTAAACATCACACTCCCGAAATACAGTAGGTATTCATGCATTATGTTGCATATTCAGCATTTATGTACGAAACACGACCCACACTAAAACTATTAATTACACAGACAAGTATTACGACCCGTGAGGACTATCCATCGGTCATGGATGCGACTAGTGTAATTAGAAAATTGTAATGTACGATTAACGTAAAAAACTAGTAAATTTAACAACTAAAGAATATACGATACACTTGTGTTATTATTCATATTGGTAATCCACAACGAATTGACAAAGAAAATAATAGTTGAAAAATTAAATTAACCTAATTGAATAGAAATTTAAATAGAAGTTTCATGTGTTGTATTCATCTAATACAAAATGGCAACTCCTAATATTCCAACTTCAATAAAGTTATCGGGTCACCTAGAATGTTCAAAACAGTTATAAATAATACAATTTTTGAAACGAAGTTTTTGCTTGGAAAATTCAATTGAAAACAATATTCAAAAAGCACCATTTTTTTATTATCGGTCAGCAAAGAAATGCATAAAGTACTATTTAGTTAATGTACTCTTGCCACACCGAATGATGTAGAGCAGTGGTTCTCAAACTTTTTTTTCGAGTACCACTCATGTGTATTATTAATCTGTCGCGTACCACTTATATCTATTTCCAAGTGACCATATTCAAACACAATTTAAAATAATCATTTATTTACTCTCCGTTCTATCACTTTGTGGCCTTTCGCGTACCGACGTCCGACATGTAGTCTAGTTGTGGTATCTCTATTCCACAGCTGATTATTTTTGCGGTCAAACATATTGGTATACTTTGGTAATTTTATTGGTGAATTATAAACAATAGACATTAACAAAGCTGTTAATACAATTATCCAGTTACGAACATTAAATATATCTTTATTGACACATTTATTAGTATTATTAAGAATCAAATACACGAATAAATGAACGCAGAAAAAGTTTTATGAAATCTTAATCCAACTATAAAGTAGATATATTAAATCAAATATTCTTATTTTCACTGGTGTGCATTTGTAGGTAATTAAATAGCGAAATAGATCGTCAAATGGCCTTTGATTTAAAACTTGTTACTTGTCACGTCGCATGGTTAAGGTTTCTCGCCTGGGTGCGTTTTCTGGTGCACAGTCAGATTGCTTTTTTGGGTGAACAACTTGTCGCACACGTTACATGAGTACGGTCTCTCGCCTGTGTGCGTCCTTCGATGTACAATCAAAGAGTTACTACAAACGAACGACTTGTCGCACATATCACAATGGTGGGGTTTCTCGCCTGAGTGCGTCCTCCGGTGTAATATCAAAGAGCTATTTTGGGAGAACGACTTGTAGCACTCGTCACAATTGTACGGTTTCTCGCCTGTGTGGGTTCTCCGGTGTACAATCAAATTGCTGCTTCGGATGAACGACTTGTCGCACGCTTCGCAAGTGTACGGTTTCTCGCCTGTGTGGGTCCTCCGGTGTATAATCAAATTGCTGCTTCGGGTGAACGACTTGTCGCACGCTTCGCAAGGGTACAGTGTCTTACCTCTGTGAATACTAAGGTGTGAATTTAGTTTGCTGATGTCGGTGAACGATTTATCGTATACGTTGCCTGGGAAATGTCTCTCGTTCATTTTAGTGCTATACATCCTATTGCATTCGTTGACGCTGTCATGAGTATTTTCTCAGATCCTGGTAAATAATGGTTCCTACATCAATTAAATGTTAGTAACGACCAAACTTAAGGTTTTTTTTGTATATAACTCGTAGTTCTTTTTCATACAATTATGTGATCAATAGCTTATTGTCGTTATGGTTTATACTTTATACTAATATGGTCGGTTAGTATTTATTTAGATCACCTTGTTTTGAAGCCAGCATTCCTTGCCTACCTATATGACTGTTTGATGTAATTATAAATGCAATATTAAAAAAGGATAAAATTACCACTTAGTTATTTGTGAGGCCAAATCATACTTACAAAAGACACCAAGAAAAATTCAATCACAAGATTGGACTAGATAATAAAATTAAAATATTTTTGTTATAAAAAAAAATTTGAAAAATAAACTATAACTTACCTAATGCATAGGTACTATTATATATCTTATCACACCTACCTACCATTTATGTAGAATATGTTGTATTAAGAATACAATAATTATAGACTAAATTATATGCACCTACTATCATTGTTTATTTTGAAAATAATCTGTTACTAGCCTCAATTTTAAGTTTCTGTTTTTATATTTTTATAATGTTTTCATCAGACATATTATCTAGGTACTAATGCTATTACCGATATTGGGTGAAATATTTATTATTTCTTTACTTATAATTTTAATGGAATTACATTTAGGTTATTCTACTGCATTTCTAAACAACTTCCACTGATTTCTTGTTTATTTATATTATCTCCGCCTATTCATTGTTCATTTGAATATTTTAACTATCCAGATTATGGTTTTTCAGCATTAAAATTATATCGTTACAAGGCATGTCTTTATGTGCTAGTAGGCTACCTTCATAGGTACATGACTGCCAATTGATTTTAATGCTTTCATTTTTCAATATTTATGAATTATGGTCAGTGTAGTATCAGCTAGTTCAGCTAGTTTAATGTGGTGCATGTGCACTTGGCCCCCAAAACTTTATAGACTCCATGTATTTCAGACATTTATTTTTAATACAACAAACTACATCCAAATCAATATCCATAGAACAAAAGGGGTGTAATATTGGTTATTTTACCATATCTGCTGAGTTTATAAAAACTATGTACTCGAAAAAGAGCAATTATAATAATTATACTGTGATATTTCAAACAATAAACATAATGATTCTAAACATTAATTATACTAAATTATGTATAGTACCTACCTATAGGTGGGTAATAATATGCTATTATTACCTACCTATAGGTGGGTAATAATATGCTATTATTTTACTTTTTATCGATGATTTCTCCATGTTAGTCTTAGTTGTAACGACTTTTGAGAATGTTTAGGTAAGTGGTTAACCTAAAATTTGGATGTACATAGGGAAATTCACCAAGCGTGCTCACTGCTAACTCATTTTTTTCGTTTCAATAATGATGCAGTTATTCAAAATCTAATCTTTGAAATTTTTAAATATACTTAAAGATCATATTTTTAAATTCTTGAGAATTTTCTGTTCTACATTGAAATGTTTTCGGCACATATAACTAATTTAAACTATTAACCATATCACTAATAATAAAATATAAATACTTTAATCACAATAATACAATAATATCACACCAGCTGCGGTACTCCTCTCAATCAAACATATCTTAACTGAATGCCTTTCATACGAAACGGATAGACGAGAAGCAGGCATTTCAAACATTCTGTCAGAAACCCTCCACCCGGACAACATAAAACACATGATAACTTTTATTACTAAGTCCAACCTTATCAATAATATTTAATATGTAACTTATACATCATGTAAATCATTTAGAGTTAAACTCTTTGTTGCCAATGGTCATAGTTGCCGAGGCTTAATTCAAATAAAAAATGTAAAAAAAAATAATAATATCACACAATTTAACTATAGTAACATAGGCTGGCCCTCTATAAAGTTCGTACCGGTACTCACTTGCTCATCTAAAACTTGATCTAACGATTAAGGTGATAACATTTTTTATCAAATTATTCGATCAATGTATTAGGCTGCATATTTGCCAATTCCATAACATTATATTACTTAAGGTATATACAAACATAAAAAGTGTTGAGTGTTTAAAAAATAATATTATTTTCAGTTACTTCCAAACTATACTGAGATAATACAACAAGGTTTTTACATTTAATATTACATTAAAAAAATCAAGAAAAATGTATACAACATGTTGTATTATTTAATTATATGTTATTCAAAATTAACTTCTAATATTTTACACAATGTGCAAGAAATTCAGAATCAGAAAAAAAATGTAATAATATATTAGAAGAAAAACAAGATTATACATATTTTACTCACTGTTAAGACTTATATAAACTTATAATTCCTTACATATATTACAACTGTACATTTCATGTGTGCTTTTTACTTCAGTTTTCCCTCTGGAGAAATTATTTAATATCCCTATGAATATTCAGAAGCATAATCTCATTGACTCGGTCTTCTCAGTTCTCATATTGTTTATCTCGAGTGTGTTTCTGTAAGCTTTCTCTCTATGGTAGTTGTGGTCAATGGGGTTAATGAATCGAAATTTCTGAATTGTATTTTTTCCGAAAGTCCGTAAACCCGGAACCTTTTTTCCCTAACACCTTTTACCCTTGTCGATATTAAAATCGATAAATTATAATTTGTATACAAAATAAAAATAAAAATAATAATAACATAATAAATATTGTAGTGTTACAATTAAATATTTTAAAATCAATAAACTATAATAGATATAAAGCGGCAGTTACCTATGTTGTCGAGGCCATTATTTATAAAAATAATAAAATCACAAGCGCGTGGTTATATCGGTGTAAAATACAAATCAGTTGTGTCGTATTGTAACTATGTTAAAGTGCGAAAAGGCAAAATACCAGTACTTTTTCGTAAATACTCTCTTTATCACAAGTGAAAAATAATTATTGAAAGATCAGAATGCATAGCAATAGCTGTATCTAAATATGTTGTATAGAAAATACGCCACTGTAGTTACTCACAATAATCAAATTTTTAAGTTTTTAAATTATTTTATTTCTGGAAAATAACAGTCGGGAAAAAGGCGTTCGGAAAAAAAGGGGTCTGACTTTCTAGCAAAATACCATTCGGTAAAAAGTTCATTTAGGAATTTCGATTCAAGAAAAACGGCGGGTACCCAGATGCAGAGGCGTAGCCGGGTTAGGGTGTTTAAATATAAAATTCCCCATAAGTTTTCCTATAGTTAACAAAAAAAAAGTTTGCAGGGGAGTCAAATTAATTTTATATGAACATAATTTGAAGTTATACATTGGATATTCATCAGTAAATTAACAAATTCTCAAACAAAGATCTTCTTATTTAGTAGTAATTCAAAAAACTATTAACCATAGATACTTGAAATTTTTAGTAAATCTTTATTTTATCATTTTCTTTACATGATATATTGACTCATTTGGAGTTATTTGGAGTTATTTTGAGTTATTTATAGATATTTGAAATTTAAAGTTCTTTTGTTTTTTTTGTCTATAAATGTCATTAACATTTTTTTCGTTGTGTTAAAATGGTTTATAATGTAACGCAAGTTTCCTCCTATATAGTTAAAATAGCAGTAAATAAATATTAAAAATTCACTTGCTCGATTTTTCTTATAAGCATTAAAAGTTCAAATTTGGAAAAAATGTATCAAAACTCGAACATTATCAAATTATTTTGCTACTATATAAGTACTGTAACCAAAAATCTAAAAATATATAAATAAACACAGTTCTACTTTACAGACATTTTGAGTTCAAATTTGGATGGAATAACATATTATAACCAAGAATAATGATTCTGGTTATTTTTCGTTGATTTGAAAATATTATTCGCGACCTCGTGGGTACTGGAAACTGGTAGAGTATATTATTATATTTTATACACACAATGACATTTTCAAATGCAATTTTTTCGGCCAAAATGATTTTAACCTATACTGTATCACAACTATAATCCCTAATAGTAATAAAATAAACTATACTTAAATCACAATAAAATTATAAAATATACTTCGTATTAACTATTAAGCATTATATGCTGTCAGACCGTCTTCGCTGAGGATCGTTTTTCGTAAACAATGATTCTATATCAATAAATTCAAATTTAACACATCCATCACAATTTACAATGACTTTCTGGACACCTACATAATGTGCGCAACAGAGCGTTCCCGCACGTGCCCTCTTTTTTCTTTTAAACGTGTTTGGTTATAAATGATTGGAAATGATTATTGATTACACATAGAAAATATCGATAAAGAAAGACTTTTTGACCAAGGATTACGAGTCACTATGTTAAATGCTGCCTAATTGTTATAAATTATGTATAGGTAAATATTAAATGGAATTACATATCATGTAATCGGTTTATTTACCACATACATCGATTGGCTCCCTATTGACTATTATTTATTAACCATCAAATGAGTATTAATTAAAAAACCAACTTTTAAAATTAATGGTCTCTTGCTGTATGTTTATTATTATGATTTAAGCTTTTAAACTATATGCACAATTATTTTAAATGCAATTTCAAAACCCTAATTATAACCATAACAGGTTGAAATAATAATGTCATAATATTTTCATTCATAAGTCATTAGACACACGTCATCGTTCGTGTTTTGAACGCCATGTTAATTGAAATGCTGAAACTAACGAAATGGTATGCGTTAGCGTTATTTACATTATGGATAAGCATTTATTTACGATATACACTATAGTCACTAATGGAGTTGTATACATGCTATGCAGTCGCATTGGAATATTTGTTATTTTTTCAGTATTAAAATTTTGTTTGCAAAAACATAGTACTAGCCGGAAAATGATGTGCCAATTTCAATTGCTCCAACGTGAACTTGACATCCCGAACTATGTGTGATCGTCGCAGTTGAAAAACTATGTCGCAAGTTCCTCAAATTGTTGCAAATAATTATTAGTTATTATATTTATTTTATACAGTAGTCGATTCCGTGCACTCCGTTGCCAATTAAAAATACCAAATCTATATGATTCAAAATGTGTGTTCAATTCGTCACTACTTCAAGCCTTCAATACCCAGCGTGCTGATGTTCAAACCTTAAGTGACAAGTTCCGGTGGATTTACATTATCGTATTGAAGATTTTTAACACAGCCTTATAATTACGGTCTAAAATTATATTTAATCATAACAACTATTTTTGTCTCGCATATCTAGCCATGTGCCTATAATTGATGACACTATTTTTAAAATGGGTACCAAATAACCGATTGCTCTCAGTAAGTTGTTCTTCACATACACAAAATGTTGTCACTTTAATAGCAACTCAATAATAAAAAGAAATATATTATTATTTGTTATTATAATTAATTCTATTATTTCTATAAAAATCCTTAAATTTGCAATAAAAATAATTAACCGCTATTTGTCGAGAAAAAATATTGCTTAAGATCCTTGGGATGCTTATGCAGCGTTCTGATGGTACAAAAATTTTAAAATCGGTTAACTTGTGAATTACGTTACCCCGAACAAACGAGTAAACAAACGATTTTTCTTCTTCTTATATTACTATATTAGTATAGAATATAGATAAACATTTATTTCAGATACACGAATGCTGTATATAGAATATGCAGTTAATAATTGCAGTTTATAATTCTACACGACGCGCTTATATAATACAATTTAAAAAAAAAATTGGTTAACTCTACTTACAATTTTATTAAATATCGATTTTTGGAAGTATATTACTTTTTTCAATAATGTGCTCTTTTGGGGAATTTTCACAAGCAAATAAATAAATCCCAAAATATTTATTATCAATTTAATTTTCATAATTTTTTTCATACCTACCTTTAATAACTAGATAAAAGCAATTTTTAATTTTTAATTTATCGGGTATTTTTGTTATAATCTGTCTAATATACAAGCATGCCTACATTTACATTGTACAGAGACTGAAATCGTACATTTCATGAATTATAAAAAGTCCGTCTGTTGTTGTATCAAGTAGAATAAATACCGTTTGTGCATTATAATGTTGATTATTCGGACCCAATAAACGATAATGTAAATACTCAAAGTCATATCACATGTGCCATACTGCAATGTGCATATACCTATATTAATTTTATCGTCTTTACCCAATACGATTTAATTAAAAATATGTTATTATTATTAAAGTTTGTGAATAAAAAAATAAAGATGAGTGAACAATTAAGTATCTGTAATTTGTATGATATAGCCATGCAGTAAATATTATGTATCTATAATTTTAACATATGCGTATACATTTTAGAACTAATTAAGTTCCGGGTTACATAACAATTGAAGTGAACAAAACAAATCCTTTTTCAAAACTTTTCAGAAAATGATAAAAGCAATTTAAATTTGATTGAATTGACAAGAACTTAGAATTCATTAATTCTATTTATAATAAAATTCTCCTGGAGCTACCAGAAAATAAAAACCGGACAGCTCCAAGTAAGTTATATTTCCTGTATCTTCTAAACTTTTTAGATTTTTGGACTTTTGATGAAAATGGATTTATTTTGTTTTTGCATTAAAAGTTTTCAATTTATTGTGTCCTGTGAATTTTAAAGTATGGTATCAATCGAGCCCAAATACAAAATGAGTCCCGTCAAACTTAAAAAAAATTAGGACTGTCAGTAACTAAAAAATCTGCATGTAAAAGCTATAATTGTTATAAATATTTAAAAAATATGTGAAAATATAATTTATTTTTGAATTTTGAATTATTTAACCAGTCGTAACTTACGCCACAAAAACCATGGATTCTCATACAGTTATATCATATGATAGTATTTATAGGTATATTACTGATTTGGATTTAATGTAAGTACCAAATACCAATACATACAATCTTAAAAAAAAATTACGAAAGAGTTTGTTTAAAAAACTTTTAAAATTCTTAAAACTGAAATAAAATATGCATTCCCATTTTTGTAAAGATTTAAAAAAAAAATAAACGCATTAAAAATATGAAAAATAGACTTATTCTTATTAAAGAAAACTCACAGGTATTTTATTTTATGTTTATAATAAAGAAAAAAAAAAATAAGGAATAATCGTTTTAATTTATTTGAGTGCTTATATCAATTTAAAAACAAAGTTTTATTATTATAATACATTTAAAAGATAAACACATTTTTAATTTAATCAATAGACAATAAATAAATAAATAAATAAAAATGAACAAAAATGTGTCGATTGACCAACATTGTTTAAAAATACATCAAAATATAAGAATAAGGAAAAAAGACTCACAAAAAACTGACCTGAAATATCAAAAACGAAATTCAAGATTGAATTCATTGTTATACAACTCAAAATTTGTGTTGAGAAATATGTATATATTATGCCTTTCTCTAGGGAAAAAAATTTATATTCCTACAAATTCACAGCATTGATTGATCAATGCGTTCTGGTGGGAGGAAGCAAAACGTCGAAGGGATACATTATCAACATCTTGTTGCACATGTCCATTTGAATGTTGTCGAGTACGGGTCCTACGGCCGGATAAAGTTCGTCGGTTATTTGTATTGCGTACTGATTTAGGAACCTCAACGCCACTCTGTCTGTAAAAATTTTAAAAACAAATTTGGTGATTATTATAATTTAAATTATTATAATTTATATTATTATAATTTATATTATTATATTGTTCGACTGCGGTCCTGCAACTATATATAGGTCACAGGGCCGGTCAAACGGTCAATAACTAAACAGTTTCTAATAAAACTCAATATTCAATTCTAGAGGGGGGGGGGGTATCTTAACGCAGCCCCCGGCATGGTCCTATTGAATTCAGACCAATTCCAACATTTAGTAACCTTTTAGTAACAAATCATAACTGACATCAAACAAATTGGAACCAAACGGTTTCCGAGAAAACTCAATTTCCATTCAGAGAGCAAACATATTTTTATTGAGATGTTATTGCCATCAATCATCATGGTACCTACTACACAACATTAGTAGACATCAATCCAATCCATCCAACAAATTTGTTGCCACTTTGTTAGACAACTTTCATATTTTGTACCTATAATATAATATAGGTGCTCACTTTCAATTTAATTATTTCAACAATACACAAAATATTATTATTATTATTATTATTATTATTAACTACTGCTTGTATAGTTCTCACGACTGCATATTTTTAGTAGATAATGGCTTTGTTTTCCTAGAAAGTTTTTATATAAAACTTCTTAAAGTAAACATTATTTAGGTTGTTACCAAGTCATTGAAACTTAAGTATTTACTATACTGCAGGGTAATTTATTAAAAAGAAAAAAAACAGCATTTTCCGGAAGTCAAAAGCTTTTTAAACGTGATAAAGTAATTTTAACTCTCCGTGAAAAGCGCGTTTCATTTTTTTCGAAATAAAAATCTCAATTGAAAGTTCTGAAAATTATAAATATCTGAATATTATGGATATTATCTAACGAGTGAACTTAAAGTTTTTTTCGTGTATAAGAAAAATTATCAAGTAAAATAATAACAATAAAAAAACAATATTAGACGAGGTATGCAATTTATATCACTTTGAGTGAACTAAGATTTACGAATTTATTCTGTTAAGTGACATCATAATATAATATTATAATACTATTGAAAATAATACCTAGGTAGTTGGTATTAGCCGATTTGAATGAAAATGGAAAATCCAATTGTTTTTATGCTCTAGGACGATGCATTTAAATTGGGCACATAATTATTCATTTCATTTAGGTAACAGCTAATATTTCAGAGGTTAAACTTTTATTTTACATTTTCTTTTAGTGTGATCAGGTAGTTTTATACATTTTTAGAGCATATAATAACACATAATATTATTATTGTATCATTTTTTATTTAAATTAGAAAATTCAAAATATCATATTAAGAAATATTGTTTTAACGATACTTATAATATCTAATATATAATGATACTAATAATAACTAATATTTGTTTTTCAAAATCATCAATTCAATCGTTCTATATATAGCATATAGCCATATTGGTAATTTGACAGGGATAACGTCTTTATCTATCTACCGCAATTATCGAACGTGGGTGTCTTTGATGTGAAACTTACACAAATTATATAACAACTAATGATATTGGTATGTTTGAGATACATTGCGATCACGTTTATTTCCAGTAAATAGTTGATGTATTGTTCATGCCTAAATTTAGCATTTAGTTTTAGGTTCCTAACATACGTACAGAATACCTAATACCCTTGTTGTGTCCATCCGTCCGTCATCCATCCGTTAGTTACCAGTGTGGAGAGACTTAGGGGGCCTGCCCATCCAACACCACCGAGATATTAGAAACGTTTAAAAAGCTGGTAAGTGTATGTCGCTGTAGTGAATGGTATTAAATTTGAACTCAATGATGTGATATCATTGTATACGAAAGACGATTCTGAGCGGAGACGGTATGTCAGTCTAGGATATTTTATATTTTTATTACTTATTATTACTACGGTAAACGGTAAGTTGAATTGATATTATTTATAATATTATTCTTAAATAACTATCAGTGATGCTGGAAAAATATTAAATATACTTTTATAAAATTAGCCTACCTCTGGAATCGAATTACAACAAATCGTTATTCTCTGTGTTAATATGTAATTTTGTCCAAATTTCAACTTAATATGTCTGAAAAAAATAACCAACTATATAACTAAAAATTATCTAACCTGAGTGAAAATCGACCAAGTTAAAGGAAAACATTTTTTGGTTTTCTACTAAGAATAAAAGGTACCTCGACTTATTTATAAATTCAGTCGTTGGTTCTGAAGCTTAATTAATACATTTTCTTCGATATCGTGGTTTGGATAAGCAGTTATTGGATATTGCTTGTGACAGGATGTTGTAATCACATCGTTAGTATAAATGAATAATTATTACATTCGTCGAAAACAAAGGTGTTCGCTGGATGTATTACAAACACTCATGTTGTGCTCCGTTAGGTAATTGAAAATAAATCTAATAGCGTAACTGGTGAAGTATATAGCGTCTGTACACAAAATTGATCAAAGCCATTTTTTTAAATAAAAAAAGCACAAACATAAATTATTTACTATTACAATTATAAATTAATCATAATACAAGAAAATTTACCACCAAATAAGAAAAAACAACCAATACTTGAAAAAGTTTAAGACTGTCTAGGGATTACTTACAATAATGGGTAATTAACACGATTAGAATATTTGAAAAAAGTTGGCTTCAAATTCGCAAAGTTAGTTAACCTAACTTATCAGCTCAACAAATAATTAAAATTTAAAATGATATATTTTTTATATACTTAAGTGATGACTGGTTCACTTCCATTTCAAAGATCACTAATGCACATTTTTAACCATGCCTCTTTATTTTCAAAATGTTTGAAGAAATAAAATATGTTTCTTGCAGGCCACGTGTTTAACGTCACTGCTATAGGGTAATGCATATTTTATTATTAATACTATAATATTATGTTTACTTGGAATAATCACAATTCTTTTTTAAAAGGCCGGTACGATAATACTCAGAATTTTAAACATCTCCTCAGTTGTTTTATTTTAGTAGTTTCTCGGTAATAACTCCCGGCCGAACAAGACATTCCATTATTCGACGTTTTCGAACGTCATACAATATGGCATTCAAAGCTTTGTGCGGATACAGGGGCAGCGAAAGTCAACAATTATTTTGAAAAAGTGTTTTATTCTTGAAAGGAGAAAAACATTTTTTTTTAAATAATATGTTTTCAACGAAATCGGTACCTATATATTCTAAAATACAGTTGTAGGTATAGTCGTGGAGGTAAAGTGTATATTTCGATTGCGACTTCCTCTGAATAGTGAATACTTGTACCTATATATTGATTGGTTAAGTGGAAAACAAAGTAATAACCTCGTTAGTCATTACTCATTACTCATTATTATTACTCCAAATAATGATCACAAACATATCTACGTGTCTAGAACAAAAAAAAATTAAATATTTATACCAATGTTTGTCTTATTGTCTACTGTGTGACGTGAACAATCTCAATAATCATCATAACCAACAAAATCATAATGAAACATTCTATAATGAAAACGGCTGTTGTTATTAATTAACCAAACATCCCGATACGTAACGAGAGGACTAGAGGAGATATATTGAACCACCGCAGGTAGCCGAAACTATAGTATTTGTAATGTGCACCAAAATAAGGGTAAGTACGTCATTTGCAGCACCGTAGGTTAATCAAAAACAGTGTTCGTTTAATTTGCACCAGAATGAACCAGGAGTGTCTATGTAATCAATCATCAATAGTATTTGATTATTTCATCGGTACGCTCGTTGACATTATGCCTCGACGTACTCGAATGACAGTAATAATTTTCTAGAATTTCTAACTACCTGCTGCCTTACCAGCTGGTAAAATTACAAAGTTAATTTGACATCCGATCCGTCATTGACGCGTCATTACACAGTAGGTACCTATCACATATTTTATTAATTTTTGACAAAAATAATGCATTTATTAAATCATTAAAATATAATATGTTTTTCTGTTCATCATAGTATATATTATACTGTTATAACGTAGGTGGCTTTCCAGTCAACATTATTTCAGTAACATTATTGATTAAATATTTACAACATGTATTGAAATAGTGCGGAAACACTGTGTTTGTACGGGATTTTGTAATTTTGCACAAAAATAAGAATAAGTGCGTAATTTGGACCACCACATGTAGCCCTGCAATTAATAGTGCAATAGTGCTTGTAACTTTCCCCAAATATTATTAGTGTGTAATAACAATAATATTTCTGCAAATCCATAATGTATAAGCCATAAGGACATATTGTTGAATTGATAATAAATAAATAATATATTATTGTTATTAGGTACCTACCTACATACCTTTGAAGTCAATACTGAAGTACCTACCGTAGAAAAATGTGAATAAGTAACTCAGTAAGTGCTAAATAATTTCTCGAAATCAAAAATGTAATATTCTGTGTTCTTAGCTTCTCAAATTTTACGATCGAAACGCATACACGTAGGAACTGTCGAAAAATTACTCAAATTGAACTTTGGAGCAAATTATACAATTCACATATTTTACTATCCCGGGTGCTGCAAACTAAACATCTTCATTTTGATGCATACTTCTAGTGTAGGTGAAAACTACACATAAGTGCAATCTATATTTTGATTTTTGGGTGATTTTTGGTGCAAATTAACTATACCTTATACTACAAGATAAATATTAAGAGAGTTTTTAAAATATCTAACTTCTTTAAATCGTAGAATTTTCAAAAAACTTCAGAAAAACTAATATTAAGCTACAGCCATATTTTAATCAAGATTATTATAAGCTAATTACTGTCTATCTAATTTACATTATTCTAAAATGTTTTTGGCTTATGTTTGCTTTATTATTGTTATTATTATTATTATTATTGTTGTTGTTATTATTATTATTCATTATTATTATAACTTATAAGATGACAAAAAAAAATTAATAAGAGCATATCTTCATTGTTATAACTTATAAGTCGGTAAAAACTTTTGGTCAAAACCGTTTTTACAACAATGTGC